CTCTCTCTCTCTCTCTCTCTCTCTCTCTCTCTCTCTCCAAAGAAGACAAACAAAATACGAGAGGGGGTTTCACTATGCGGGAAGGTACGCTATGCTATAATCATGAAACTAATAATTACATTTATACACTGGTCTCCAAAAGAAACTTGAAAATGTAATCACCCAATCATCGTGTTAAATTCTTGAGCTACTCACTTATGCAGCACACCAATTTCAAGCTAAATAGATTCTACATCATCTGACACATTCATATTTTATCTATGTTTAGAGACGCCCGAGATATGGTCACTCAAAATTGACCTTTAAAAATCAGGCTTGGTAAAATTGTGCGAAATCGGAGAAATGTTAAATTATCTTCGTACGTGTATTGAGGAGCATCAATATTGATAGAAAGAACGTACATTGCATATCCAATGAATGGAGAATTTTATCTCTGCAATAAACAATAATTTATTAATTTAGTTTCAAACAAAACGAAATCACAAAGAGCGCTAAAAACTTGGACTTAACATTACATGTTGTGCTCACTGTTATTTTGCTTTGGAGACTTTGATTTTTGGATAGAGGATGAACCCTTTGAGCATAAACTCTTTTTAATTTTTGACATAATTATCTGTCATTTCATCCCAAATGCCTGCGTTACATAGACAGACAGAGAATAAAATGGTTTGGCCATCTGTTACGCATGTCACCTGACCAGCCAGCCTCGAGAGCCTACAACACCAAGCACTCAGGCTGTAAAGGAAGAGGAAGGCCATGCAAAAGGTGGATCGAGGGTGTCAAGGAAACCCTAAGAAAACATAACATCACAACTGAAAGAGCTGTGGAGCTGGCCCACCATAGAACACTGCATCTCCCCTCGACGCTTAACGGCAACAGAGGATGAACAAGTAAAAAGTAAAGTATAATTTGGTTTTCCAAGAATTGTCGTGAGACATTGGCCCTGTGCGAAAGTGATTTCCTGTGCATAGAGATATCTACTCAAATGACACCATGACTAAATTAAGAATAAGACATGACGTTCCAACACTTGCACGTTGTAGTCCTCTAAACCTTGACATCCGGTGATTCTCACGAGATCGTTTTTGTTCATTCCACCCGAGACCCTCCCCCC